AAGGAAGGAAAGAAGTTCAGAAGGAAGTTTGGAAGGAAGGAAGGAAGGAAAGAAGTTCGGAAGGAAGTATGAAAGGAAAGAAGGAAGGAAGGAAGGAAGGAAGGAAGGAAGGAAGGAAGTTTACAAGGAAGGAAAGAAGTTTGGAAGGAAGGAAAGAAGTAAGGAAGGAAGTTTAGAAGGAAGGAAAGAAGTTCGGAAGTTTGGAAGGAAGGAAGTTTGGAAAAAAGGAAGGAAGGAAGTTTGGAAGAAAGGAAGCTTAGAAGGAAGGAAGCTTGGAAAAAAGGAAGGAAGAAAGGAAAGAAGTTCGGAAGGAAGTTTAAAAGGAAGGAAAGAAGTTAGGAAGTTTGGAAGGAAGGAAGTTTGGAAGGAAGGAAGTTTAGAAGGAAGGAAAGAAGTTAGGAAGTTTGGAAGGAAAGAAGTTTGAAAAAGGGAAGGAAGGAAGTTTGGAAAAAGGAAGGAAGGAAGTTTGGAAAAAAGGAAGGAAGAAAGGAAGCTTGGAATAAAGGAAGGAAGAAAGGAAGGAAGGAAGTTTGGAAGTAAGGAAGTTGGGAAGTTTGGAAGGAGGGAAAGAGGGAAGGAAATGAGGGAGAGAAGGAAGGATGGATGTTTTATTGGACTGGCACCTTGCTGAGTTTGTCAGCTGTGGCAGAAACACTCAGACCCTCCAGAGCTTCCATCAACTCCTGCTCAAACTCCGCCCCGTCTTCATCTGAGGTCAGAAAACACGGACGTTTAATCCTGGAGATGTTTCAGGACACAGAGTCCAACGTGGACGTCTTACCTTTGTTCTCGTCAACGTCCTCCTCGTCAAACTCCATCATGGAGAACAAGTCTTTGATCCGGCCCAGCTCGGCTCTGAGCTGGACCAGCTCGTCTCCTGACAGAGTCGTCAACACGGACTTCACCTGCACACAACATCAACACACAAGTCTGGGTAAAACAAAACATCTGCATCCTCCCAGATGTTCTGATCCCTTCAGAAGGTTCTGGAGGAGATCCTGCAGAGGAAACAAGCTGTAGACTTCACGTCAGTGTCCTGTATGACGTGAGGTTTGCATCCAACAAAGCAGCTTTGGTCGAGAGTAAAGAGGAAATAAACAAGATAGTTTCTAAAGACTAAAGCTGCTGCAGGAGAACGCCTCCAATGAGGAGATGTGCTTCCTGTCTGAACACAGGCTGATGAAACTCATAAAGACATGAACATTTCAGCACTTCACCAAACAGCTGTTAAAAATTTATCTCCCCTGGAATGCCTGGGGGTCTGCGTTCCCAGACAGAGAGGAAATATAATCCCTCCAGCGAGTTCTGGGCCTGCCCCGGGAGCCTCCTCACAGTCGGGAGAGCCCGGAGGCATCTTGAACCGATGCCTGAAACCCTCAGAGCAGCGGCTCTCCTCCAAGCTCCTCACCTCCATAGCTCGTTACGTGCTCGACAAGAAGCAAGAAAACTCCTGTTTGTTTGAGGTGGCACAGACCAGGACAGCTTGTTTTGTCCATTTCATTCTTAATGTTAACATTTCCATGTTGACTCCGCCCACTTCAAAGTTCTGGCAAATCATGTGAAAGCTGTCGGGACACCACACAAAAACACAGGTGCTGCCGAGATGACGTGTTGAAAACAAGCTGCAGGAACTCCCAGAGCTGAGCTGTGAGGAAAACATGACGAGGTTCTTTTCTCTGCAGTGGAGCAGTTCCACGTCTAGGATACTTCCTGTGTGACACAGGAAGCTCATCGGGATCTACTACTACTAAGTAGTAGATACTACTCTCAAGCTACTTGGATCTCACGTATCAAAAGGTGAGTGTTGGAACATGAACAGACCAGTAAAGCTCTAATTCTTTTACAGTACAACTGACTGGAGCAACACTGTCATTACAGCAGGTGAAGCCTCTGACCTCCATCTGACTCAAGAGTGAACGGTCCGCAGTTATGAAGCGACCCACAGACGAGGACGTAGCGTCACACGCAGCACGCCGTGTTTACAGAAGGAAACATGGCCGCCACACGTTAGCATGAGTTAATATGAGGTTTTCAGTCAGAACTGATTTAATTATCTGACATGCTTGATCCGTCCAGTGTTTGTATTTGATCTTTTACCTACTCCAGAGCAGAATTACACTTCTGGAACCGGCGCAACGAACAGAAAGTAGAAACAAACTCGAGAATTGATCCCATCATGCTAGCATCGATACGGTCCGACATGTTGGCATGCCACTGCTGGTACCACCCGTCGGTGTAAGTTGTCAGACATGCAGGACGACATGGAGAATCAGAAATGGGTCACGTTTCTCTGCAATGTGAACGGAGCCAAACTCTGTCTCCTGAGGCCGACATCTGCTGAGGTGGAAACATTTTCATGTTCTGATTTACAGGAACGAGTTTTAAAAATCTGGTCAAGTAGATAAAACACTTGTTTAAATGTTGCACAGGTGTGTCAACAGGGAGAACTGACTAAAAGTTGCAGACACGTTGTTTGGGTTCAAAACATCTCTGATGCTCAGAGGAACAAACCAATGACCACAGAGAATAACAAACTGGAAAAACAAGAAAATCATCGTTCAGCTACAAATACACTTGTCCCCCTTCTTTTTAACTTCATCCTACCTGAATCGTGTCTCTGAGTTTGAACCGAAGCATTAGTAGACAGATAAAACATGAAGCGGTACCTTTAATTCGCTCTCCCGGGACAGAATCTCCAGAGCTTCAAGGTGTGACAGACCCTGATACTCATCGAACAGCATCCCGTAGTGTGCCACCACCTTCTTCTCAGAGTCTGAGGAGTCTTTTTCTGTCGTCTGCAGCTCCTCTCGCTCCTTCGCCTCCCGCAACACCTGACAAACACACAAAATGTTGTGTGTTTAAGAAACGGCACACTCTGGTTTCAATCAGATCCTCTTAAAACTTGTCCTACCTGTGACAGAGTGGCGTTCCTGCTCATCAGTCCTTTGGTCTTCTTGAAGCCGGGGTCACCTTCAGCTATCACATCCATGGTCTTCTTCCCGATGAACTCCAGAGCGTCCAGACCTCCGCTAATCACCGTCTTCCCCTGAGAAGAAGTTTGGTTAAATGTGTCGCTGCTGCCCCGGCTGTGAACACGGTGAAACGTCTCCTTACGGTTATGTGGACCACGTTGGTGAGAGACGACAACATTTCCATTGCACCCCCCACTGCTGATGATGACCCGTCGCTCGCAGCACGCTCCTCCTCGCCGCTGGACTCGCCTGCAGGAGACGAGACAAACACGTTTTATGTCAAATGATGAGAAATGTGGAGTTCTTCTTCATTTTGTTTAAACTGCACAGCTCATCTCACCCTCGTGTTTCTGTTCTTCTGGAGCCTGGGCTGACAGTTCGGTCGGACTCGGGATTCCCAAAGACGTCTCTGCCTTCTCGATCACCTGAGTGAGCCCCTGGCCTGGACAGATGTTTGGTGAAGAGCGAAAACTCGTTTAAAATGAGGAATCGCACTGATCAAACCTGAGGCGACGCAGTGCTCTGCGAGGTTAAACTCACCCACGGTGGCCACTGTGGCCGTTGCTGTGGTCAGAATGGATTTGCCCCAGCTGCCCCAGTATCCCCAACCCCCCTGAGACACAGTGGACTCACTGGGCGTCTGTCCGAGAACAAAAAAGAAACACAAAGATGGAGCAAGACTCTAATTACTCCATAATATAAAAACATCTGGAAGAAGCCAGATTCTCCCCGACAGTGAAACATGTTCCTCTCAGCTCCAACAGTTCCCTCCCTCAGAGAGGACCTTCTCCGTCTGCCTCCTCACTGCTACCTTTGCTGGCTGCTCCTCTGCCTTGGGCTCCTCCTCGACTTCAGCTTTGGGCTTGGCTGCTGTTTTCCTCCTGGCTTTCCTGGTCGGGGCTACGTCGGTGGAGATGTCAGGTGTGGATGGGGAGGAGCTGTCTGGTGTTCCAGCGGGAGAAGCGTCCTGCATCTCAGGAGCTTCCACAGCTGCTGCTCCAGAAGCTTCACCGTCTGACATCTTACCAATGTCTCAGAGCATACCTGCAGAACGAGACCGTGTTAGCCAAATAATGTCCAATAAACTGTCCCGAGAGGTTTAAACTGATTTAGTTTGAAGATTCTGATGCCACAGGTGGATCTGTAATAAATCATATAGAGATTCATCAAATCAGCAGTGAACGTGTCAAAAACATGGAAGGAGCAGCTCTTCACTTCTCAGCTGCTTGGTGTCCTTAAGTCCACGATACGACTTATGAAGTTTTAAATTTATAGTTAAAAAGGGCACTAAGATGCATCATTCCACAAACACAGTGCATGGAAGTACAAAGTCCCAAACACGAGCAACACATGAGCCCAGATTGTGTTAAAACAGAGGAAACCTCGAACCTGTAGCCTCTTTAGAATCTGCTAATAAGAGATTAAAGGATTACCTGAGCTGCAGATGAATGTTAAATTAATTAAAATTAACTAAAAGTAAACAGACATGAAATAAACTCAAGGCTACCCTTGTAAACTTACCTTAAGTGTTAGCAGGTATTAGCCTTCTTGTTGTTTCTTTCCTGAAACAAAACAATTACCCTCCTGTATTACAGTTTATACTTCTGTAGCTAAGCGTTAAAAACATCTAACTTCTCCAAAATGCAGCAGGTTTTCTTGTTTACTTTTTCTGCCCCACAATTCTAGCCACGTCACATTTTGTTGTCAAAGGTTACGGCTAAAAGTTAGCTACTCTGATCCTGGTTAATCCTAGTTCCGTTTTGGGACCTTCAGAATAAAACTAGTCTTAAAACTTTACTTTTCAAACAATACGTCAAACTTTATTAAGACACCTGTATCTTAAGAAAGAGCAAAAATTAATTATTTATTCAGATTTATATAACAAAAATATTCTAAAAATCTTTTTTAATTCAAACATATTTGACGCTTAGTATTTATTTTGAAATAATCGGTCTAGGTACTCACTTCCTTACAGAAGCTTGATCAAACAGGAAGCGGAAGATAAACGTTAAAAAGTTTCAAAATAAACCATTTAACTTAAAAACGTATAGAAGACGAGTCTTCAGTTTAAAAAGTATAATTGATTAAACACATTTTTGTCGTAAAAATATTTAGTTTATATTTTATTATTTGTGATTTTAATCCAATTAAGATTATTTTTAAGTATCAACACAAATAACGGTTTATTAAAAGACATCTAAAACTTGCAAATATATGAAATAACACTATATTTGTTCTTATACAAATTAAACGTACAGTTTATTTAATATTTAAAATTTGTGCGTTTGGTCGGTAAAAGTAAGCCCCGCCCACTCGGTCTCACCTGAACCAGGTAGGAAGAAGAACACAGAATCGAGCGTATTTCTGGCTTTAACGAAAAATGAAAGCATTCATTGAAACTTAGACTCACACATATTGGATGTTCTGTCCGCAGAAGATTAATGTTAAGGATTTTTCTGGCAGCAGAAGGTGAGAAAATAAATTATTTTAGGACTTTACCTGAATCAGTGCTCACTCAGCACATTTGTGAGACAACTTGTTACCAAATGTTTCTGCCTTTTAACTTTTTTATGGAAGGTTCTGGGTCATTTTGTTTTTATTTCAAGTTTCCTCTTTGTTTCTAGACATAATGGACTCATGTTGTAGTTTTTCTTTTGAAGTCATGACTTTGAGTTTTATGATGCATTGTTTTCATTAAGAATTAAGTTGGCTGAAAAGAGAACAGAGCAAATAAAATGAAGGCTTGTAATTACAAACAAAACACTAAAGATGTTTTCGTCAGGATAGATGTACAAGAAGTCCTGAAGATAAATCAGATACAGACAGAATACAATGCAGGTCAGAAGTCAAAGCATCTCTCTCTTCCTGTTGTGCAGGTTGGTCCGGTCTAAATGTGACGCGAGGCGATGTCATCTCCTGAGAATCAGACGCTCCTCGTCATGCTGCTGTTGGCCTGCTGCTCAGCAGGTGGAGCTCAGAACGAGTCGCACGTCGTGGCCGTCCTGCAGCTGGAAGTCTTCACCTCCAGCTCCAGGTCCATCGTGGTGAAGGAGGGGTCCAACATGCTGATTGAATGTAACGTGACTCGAGAGCACGATGAGGTCCGGTGGTTTAACTCCAAAGGACCTCTGGAGACAGATGGAGCAGGTAGGGCGAGGAGCTCACGTCCTGGTGTGTGTTTCTCTTACTACTGTCCACAGTCTTCCTCTTATTGGTGATCAGGTTGCAGATGGAACACCCAGACCTCTCTCCAGTAACATTCTCCAGTTTCTCCTGTAGGTTCTTGAGGTGCTTTCATGTCAGAGAGGACACATATAGTCCCTCCACTGGGTCTGCCTGAGGTCTCCGCCCATTACCTGGAAGACCTCCAGAGGGAGGCACCCAGGAAACATCCTAATGAGATGCCTGAACCACCTCCTCTGACTCCTTTTGCGGAGGAGGAGCAGCGGCTCTGAGCTCCTCACCCGATCTCTGAAACCAGAACCTCACGGGGCTGCGACTAGTTGGTCATGAGGAGTCTCCAAAATGTCTCAAAACCTTCGAGGTGGTTCTCAGGTTCCTTGCTCGAGTCTCAGTGACTTTCAGTTTTGCAGCTTGAGTTTTAAACGTGTTCAAAAGTGTTCTGATGTAATTTTCTGTTCAAATAGTCTCAAAGTTGTCACGAGCATCAAGAGCTGGTCTTAAACCATTTCTCCCCTCCACCCGAGGCTCCACTCCCAAATGTTTAGGTCTAAAACCCACAATAATGTTAAATATTTTTATTAAATCACTGGTTCAAATCTGCCTAAAAGAACTTCAGTGAAATAAATCAGGCAGCTGCCAAGGTGGGCGCAAAGCTGGTCTGGGGCCAGACGTTGTTTATTTTATTTAAACCTTTATTTTACCAGGAAAGAGATCCTTTTAGATTATTAATCTCTTTTACAACAAAATATCTGGCATTAAGACATAAAATACAATGCAAGTTTAAAAAGTTTCTCAATTTAAGACATTTGAATATTACAGGTGTAATATGTGACTAAAACCTCTTAACAGTTTTATTTAAAACTAGATAAAAGTATTAAAGACTCCAACCTCAACTCAAGCTGCAGATCATTCCAAGACCACGGCTGAAATCGCACAAACTCATCTTTCCTGACTTTGTGCGCACAAAATGTAACTTAAACCACAGCCGGCCGCTGGTCCTGAGACTGTGTTGTGTAGTGAAATGAACTTGGAGTAGATGTATGAGGGGTCATTTTCCAAAAATGGCTTTGTATATGAAAATATACCAGTCCTTCATCTTTCCAATATTGAGTGAAGTCCAGCAAGAGTACCAGTACAAAAAGTACAATGGTGAGTTTTAAAGTGAACTTGTTATATACCACAGCAGGTAAAGAGCTACGGGGGTGGAGGAGGTTAATCTATAGAGTGTGTCTCTGTGATCCAGCTGTGATGAAAACAAACCGCTTATGGGAAGAAATAGAAAAACATGATTTCAGTCTATACAAAAAACTTAAAGTAAATGTTGATTTTTTTTAGATATGTAAGGTGATGTTTAAAGTTAAGAACTTTATCCAGCCAAATACCAAGATATTTGTATGTCTTCAGTCTCTGATGTCACCATTCAGTGTTTTAATAGAAGGAACGGGTACCACAGAATCATGGGAGAACAACATAACTTTAGTTTTGCATTCAGGAGTAATTTTGAATCACGGAGAGCGTTCTGTAACGTGTTGAAATCAGTCTGAAGATCTGAGTGTACTGCGTCTAGAGAGGGACATCTAGAGACATAGACCAGCAGCAAAACCCACAGGCTGTCTCAATACCAGGGCCGCTTTCTGAAGGTCTTGGAATGTTTTGTAAATTCTTTGTAAGTTTAATACTTGATAATTTTCTGAGGGATGTTTTTGATTGACATGATTTGATTTTAATTTGATTTTATGAGGACAGCAGGACATGTTTAGACTGGTACAGGACATGTATGAAGACAGCAGGACAGCAGTGAGATGTGCTGCAGGAATGACAGATAGCTTCAAGGTGGAGGTGGGAGTGCATCAAGGATCAGCTCTGAGCCCCTTCTTGTTTGCTCTGGGATGGACCGACTAACAGATGAGGTCAGGCAAGAATCCCCGTGGACTATGATATTTGCAGATGACATTGTGATATGTGGTGAGAACATGGAACAGGTGGAAGAGAACTTGGAGAGGTGGAGGTATGCACTTGAAAGAAGAGGAATGAAAGTCAGCCGTAGTAAGACAGAGTCCATGTGTGTGAATGAGAGGGAGGAGGTTTTAACAGTGAGGCTACAAGGAGCAGAGGTCACAAAGGAGCAGGACTCCAAGGACTTGGGGTCCACTGTCCAGGAACATGGGGAGTGTGGTAAAGAGGTGAAGGAGAGAGTCCAGGCAGGATGGAGTGATGGAGAAAAGTTTCAGGAGTGATTTGAGACAAAATGGTGTCAGCAAAGATCAAAGAAAAAAGTTTACAAGACAGTGTTGAGACCAGCTATGTTGTATGGTCTGGAGACAGAGACATGGACAAAAAGACAGGAGACAGAGACATGGACAAAAAGACAGGAGACAGAACTGGAAGTGGCAGAAATGAAGATGTTGAGGTTCTCCTTAGGAGAGACAAGGATGGAGAAGATCAGGAATGAGATCATCAGAGGTACAGCACAGGTTGAACAACTGGGAGATAAAGTTAGAGGACACACTGAGATGGTTTGGACATGTCCAGAAGAGGGACAGTTGTTTGGACATGTCCAGAGGAGGGACAGTGGTTTGGACATGTCCAAAGGAGGGACAGTGGTTTGGACATGTCCAGAGGAGGGACAGTGGTTTGGACATGTCCAGAGGAGGGACAGTGGGTATATTGGTAGAAGGATGTTAGAAATGCAGCTGCAGGAAAAAGACGAGTGTAGATGGAGTGAGGACAGAGGATGCAGAGGACAGAGTGAGATGGAGGAGGATGAGCCCTGAAGAGTGAAAAGCTGGAAGAAGAAGATTTTTATTGGCATGAAGACATATTTAGGTGTTCAGAAATGTTGTCACAGCTGAATGTAAATTATTTGCAAGTTTTTTATTTATTTATTAATTTTTTTCAGGAGGTAAGTGGCAGATCCATGAGAACGGTGCCCTGAACATCACCGCGGTCTCCTTCCAGGACCGTGGACGCTACACCTGCGTGGCTTCCAGCAGCGCCGGCCTCACAACAAACTACACGGTGACGGTGCGCGTGGCGTACACCAACAGCGGCCTGGGAGTGTACTTTGTCGTCGTGTGCCTGGTGGCCTTCACCATCACCATCATCCTGAACGTGGCGCGCCTGTGCATGGTCAACAGCCACCTGAAGGAGATGGAGAAGGCCATCAACGAGTTCTTCCGCACCGAGGGCGCCGAGAAGCTGCAGCGGGCGTTCGAAGTCGCCAAGCACATCCCCATCGTCACCTCAGCGAAGACGGTGGAGTTCGCTCGGGTCACGCAGTTCAAGACCCTGGAGCTCGCCCGGCACATCGAGGAGCTGGCGCGCAGCGTCCCTCTGCCGCCGCTCATCCTGAACTGCAGGATGTTCACAGAGGACGCCGCGAACCCGGAGTCGGACCCGGCGGTGACGTCCGGGAGCGGCTCGGTTGAAAATGAGGAGGAGGCGTCCAACGTGATGCTGTTGAGTGAAGGGCGAGACGATGGAGACGGCCGTCATGTCGTCAAGCTGCACGCCGAGAGGACCGGCGGGGAGGAGCAAAACACCGGCTCTGGTTCAGGAACAAGAATAGTCTATGAGAGCGACGCGTGAAACCGAGATGATCAGAAACACGTGTCTGCAAAGAAATGTCCAAAAACTGCCAGAAATCAAGAAATCATAAAGATTCTGAATAATTTATTTTAAAATCCTGCACCAGGACAGAACTCAGATCAGAGAGGACCGGAGGACGCCTAAAGCTTTGACTGTGGAACATCTGGCACGTTTTCTCCCTTCACACATTCATTACATTATTACCCACCATCACAGATGGGTAATAACGTAAATGCTTGTGTGCACGTGTTGGTCTGTGTTAGTAAAATATTGAGGAAAAGATGCATTTCTCAGGAAGTAATCATCAATTTTACTTCTACAACTGTCTGAGTCAACTCGATTCAAAATGGCCGCCACAGCTAACTGATCATATCAATCATAAAATCATAAAATGAGCTTGAACTCAAACACGATCTGAACTGGATATGGTGTGGTAGTAGCTGATAGTCATCCCAACATCCACTCTAAACATGAAGACCGCTGGCGGGTGATGGGCATTCTTCCAACGAATGCTCCCGTCACTCTTTGTTTCTTCTCTTCCTCCTCGTTCCTTCAGATTTCTTCGTTTTCTTTTAATTTTAAAAGTGAATCCAGAATAAAAATGAAATAATGGAAAGTGTTCTAATGACCAGCTGATCTTCTTGTCTGGTGCTCGTAGAATAATAAAGTTCTGGTTCTGTTGTCGGAACGTGCCGTTTGGAGCGAAACGTGTCTAACGCCGTCGGGATCGTTTGAGAAAATACGACACGATGACTTGTTTGTATTATGAGGTTGTTGTTGTTTTTGTTTACAGTGACGTTTAGAACGGGTCAAGTCACCAAAATGTGCGTGCTGGTGGCCTTAATGGAAGTAACGAATATCTGTTTGGAGTTTGACTCGTAAATCTGACGACATGTGTGTCTGCTTTAAAAAACAAGAGAATTAAAACCGTAAAGACGTTAAAACAAACGCGTCACTTCCCAATTGTTTTCTGATGGATTTATAATAAAACGTCCTGCTAATAAAAGAAACTTGAAACCTTTGAACTAAACTGTACTTATGACTCATTTTGGGCGTAAAAGAAGATGACGTTCTGACGGCTGCAGACGACTTCACAAAATGCAGACGAAGGTAAATTTTGGATGATTTCTCATCCAGCCCGGAGCCCTGAGCTCCTTAAGGCTCTGGATGTCGAGGTGCAGTCTTGGCTGACTCGTCTTTGCAACGTCGCATGGACATCGGGCCGTACCACTGGACTGGCAGACTGGGGGGGTTCAAAAAGGTGGACCAGAGGGTGTGCCTCGACTATAGGCTCATCACGCTCCTCAGCCTCCCTGGTAAGGTCTATTCAGGGGTACTGGAGAAGCGAGTCCGATCGTTGGTTGAACCTCAGCTCCAGGAGGAACAATGCAGGTTCTGTCACAGCTGTGAAACACTGGATCAGCTCTTTACCCTCACTAGGGTCCTCGAGGGGTCATGGGAGTTTGCCCATCCAGTCTACATGTGTTTTGTGGACTTGGAGAAGTCTTTTGACCGTGTTCCTTGGGGTACACTGTGGGGGGTGCTCCATGAGTATGGGATTGGGGGCCCAGTTCTACGGGCTCTTCGGTCCCTACACAAGCGGTGCAAGAGTTTGGTTCACGTTGTTGGTAGTGAGTCGGATCCATTCAGGGTGGGAGTTGGACTCCACCAGGGCTGCCCGTTGTCACTGATTCTGTTCATAACGTATCTGGACAGAATTTCTCGGTGTAGCCAGGGGGGTGGAGGGAGTCCGGTTCGGTGGCCTCAGGATCCATCTCTGCTCTTTGCAGATGATGTGGTCCTGTTGGCGTCATCTGATCTCCAGCTCTCACTGGAGGGATTCACAGCAGAGTGTGAAGCGACTGGGATGAGAATCAGCACCTCCAAATCTGAGGCCATGGTCCTCAAATCAGAAAGCGTGGATTGTTCTCTTCAGGTCGAGGGTGAGGTTCTGCCTCGAGTGGAGGAGTTCAAGTTTCTCTGGGTTTTGTTCACAAGTGAGAGAAGAAAGGAGCGTGAGACTGATGGATTGATGCAGCGTCTGCAGTATTGCAGACTCTGTTCTGGTCTGTTGTGGTGAAGAGCTGAGCTGTAAGACAAAGCTCTCTGTTTACCGGTGAGTCTATGTTCCTCACGCATGTTCTGGACTCAGGTCTCGGGGGCAGCATCTTGAGCAGGGAGGTCCAGATATCTCTCTCCACAGCCTCTTCCAGCTCTTCTGGGAGGACTCCAAGGTGTTCCCAGACCAACTGAGGGACATAGTCTCTCCAGTGTGTCCTGGATCTTCCCCGGTGTCTCCTCCCAGCCCTACATGTGCGAAGCACCTCCCTAGGGAGGCGCCCAGGGAGCATCCTTACCAAGAGGAAGATGATGGATGGATGTAACTGGGACCTTAAGTACACAATTTTGTTTCACCTCATGTACCACATGTGATGTGAGTGACAATAAAGTCTCCTTGAACCTCGTTTGTGTTTTTCTGTCAACAGTGGAGCCTGCTGGTTCTTCTGATTTAAAATGTGACCGATGGAGTGATCAGAAAATCATGTACCTTCACTGTGGTGTCCATCTTGAATGGTTTAGATGGAATTCCTAACTGATCAACCTGGGGTTGCATTTCCTCTTGCATCCACGTCCTGGCAGGTTGTCCGCTGAGGACAGAGGAACATGAAGCAGCGTGGAGACGGTCTTGTAGTCTTTAACATCTGTGATGTTCTCTCTGAGCTCCTCAGACAGCTCTTTGGTTTCTGTGCTCCGTCTTCAGGGTGGAGAAGGACCAAACCAAACCATCTGTTCATTTTAAATCATCTGAATGTCTGATGGAACGCTTGAAGACTTCTGCGATGATAATTAAAGTAAACTCTTAGTTTGAATCTTGGTTATGAACAAAGATTAATCGTCTCTTTAAGGGGACGACACATCTGTAATTGTTTTAGCAGATGTTTGGAAAATAAATCATTTCTTTTCACATATTTAGTTTATCACACGGTAAAGAGATGCAGATAAACATCAGGCAGCTGCTTTTAACTGAATCACTTTTTAATGAGAAGTGAAGGGATGTTGAAATGAGCTGTGCACGAACCAACTGATCAATCTGCGCGTGTGCAGAATCAAAGCAGTCTGTCCTGGATTTATTTCTGCTGTGGTGTTTGAGGCCGCACGGTGGCGCTGTTGCATTTCCATTTGTATTTCAGCTCTGCTGCTGAAGCTGCCTGCAGGGCCAACTGTTGCTCTGAGCCGCAGGATTCAGGATCTCTCAGGTTCATGGATGAACGACGGCTTTAAATGTTGCAGCAAATGCTCAGACACAAAACAACTTTAAAGTAATTAGCCTCAGTACGGAAACAACACAGCATGCATTTACATTCAGGCAGGCTTAAATACATTTATTTAAACTAAAGCTAAGAAAAGAGGACCCATTCATAATGCACCTGCGTTTTTAATTGAGTTCATGCAAACAATCACAGAAATATAAAAAAACAGTATTTATCATCATCTTTTTACCAGTTTAGACTAACATGATACTAAAATGTCCTGCAATGTCCCAAAATGACTCTCAGCTACTACCACGTCGAATCTGAGCTCAGTATCTTTAAAAGTGACGGAGCTGAAGCCATTTTTGCATCAGATGTTGGTTAGTTGTGGTGACTCTCTAAAAGTTTTATTAAAATCTGTTGGTTCACGAGATATTTTACTAAAAGACAGCAACCACAGACAAAACCATCACTCAGCCGAAAGTTGGGTGATAGAGGCCGAAGTGTTAGCATGTGGCTAAAAACGCATTAATTAAAATCAGTTAAATTATAATTTACCTGACTGTCATTAAATGCCCTGAGATTATGTTTAATTGTGAATTGATGCTAAATGAACCTGACGGAAACAAGCTCAGTCAGTGCAGCTGCATGAGGCGTTTGTGGAGCACGGCGGGGTTTTCCCAGAGGTTAACACAGTTACTAACTTTACCCTGGCTGTGAAATATCAGGCTGGCCGGCGTCCCAAACAACAATAACCTTGGGCCTCTGAGCTGAAGAAGTCTAAAAATCCAATCCGTCTTCCTTCCCCTCCTCTCCAGAGGCGAGCATATCTAAATAGAATTGATTGGGCCGGGCGATCGTTCATCATGGCGAGCCTGAGCCGTCGTTTGAGGAGGAGAGGAAGGAAGATTTTAAAGGTAGAATATTTCCAACGGGCCCCGGTGTCATCCGGGTAAACTCTGTGGATCGATTGAGCTAAAAAGGATGGACGCAGAGAGAAAAACGTTTCCTGCACAGTTTTTAGAGCAGGGGTCGCCAACAAAATATGCTGCAGGGGCCGGTTTTTATTTGTAGACAAAACATTAATAACCAAAGAAATCCAATGTTCTGTGAAAACACTGAGAGCTGAATGAGTTCTTCAAATTATGTACACAACGTCCCAGTTATACCCCAAAATAGCAAAATATAAATTGTAAAAAGAAACAGTAAATAAGGTTTTAAGATATAAACTAAGATATACACTAAACACCAATAATGTAAAAGAATATGACATATCAGCATCAGCCCAAACATGAGTCTGTGGTGAGCAGATGGGTATGAATGAATAGAGCAGCATGGATAATCAGCAGCATGGATAATCAGCAGCACAGATAAGTCACATATCATCAAAGTGTCATCACAGTGATTATTCTGGTTAGAGATTCATGAGTCTAACAGCCTCAGGGTAGAAGCTGTTCCTCAGTCTAGTGGTTCTACACTTAATGCTTCTCAACCTCCTTCCTGAGGGGAGTGGGGCAAAAAGTGTGTGCTGGGTGAGTGTGGTCCTTCATGATGCAAGTGGCTCTCTTCCTGCATCTGGAGGTGTAGATGTCTGTGATGGCGGGGAGGTTGACTCCAACATCTTCTGTGCAGCCTTCACCACTCTCTGCAAAGCTTTTCTTTCTGCAGCTGTGCAGCCTCCATGCCACACGTTGATGCTGGAGCACAGGATGCTCTCCACTGCACACCTGTAGAAGGAGGTGAGGACTGAGCTTCCCAGTCCAGTTCGTCTCAGCCACCTGAAGAAGTAGAGTCTCTGATGAGCTTTCTTCATCAGGCTGGTGGTGTTGTTGCTCCAGCTGAGGTTGTCATTCATGTGCACACCCAAGTTCTTGTAGCTGGAGACCACTTCCACCACAGTTCCTCTTGTGTTCAGGTGGGGTGAGGTAGGTGAGTTTGCTCCATTTGAAATCCACAATCATCTTCTTCACATTGATGTGGTGGTTGTTCTTCCTGCACCAGCTCTCCAGATGTTCCACCTCCTGCCTGTAGCTGGACTCATTGTCTGTGATGCATCCCACCACTGCTGTGTCAGTTAGCTGAAATTCACAAAAAATCACTAAAACTATGATTTATCAAAAAGGAGAGTCTTAATCCCAGTCTTCAAACTGGACAATGTGTCAGTTTCATGGACATAAACTGGAAATTGGTTCCACAAGAGAGGAGCCTGAGAACTGA